GTAGCTATGACTTTTTAAAACAATTGTATGATTGACATACAACAAAAGTACATTTTTTAAAGTGTACAATTTTTAAAGTTTTGACATGTATATGTAGCTGTGAAATCACCACCCAAATCAAGATAATGAGCATACCCCTCACCCTCCATAGTTCTAGCTGTTTTTTAGCTACACTGGCCCCCATGCTGTTTCTCCAGTGCATAGCAGACGCCAACTTCAGGGTCCTTGCACTCCCTGTTCAATCTCCTGGAACGGTTGTGCCCAGATATCTGAATGTCTGTCCCTCCCCCCTCCCCCACTCCCTTCATGTCTTTCTCCCAGTCACCCCTACTGGCATTCCCTATGCCACTTACCTGCTTTATTTTTCTTCATGGCATGTACCACACAACATTGGTATTTTCTATTTGTTATTGTCTCACTTCCCCTCCAGAATGTAAGTGCCATAAGAAGACAGGCTTTGTTTTACTATTCTGTTCCCATCACGTAGAGCACTATCCAAACTCAGTGCATTAGACAGTGGCATACCCAAGGCAAGTTTTTCTAGCTGGACAAGCTCATCAATACTACTCTCCTCCTTGAGCATCTTTTTATCAGTCAGGTTTTAGGCTCAGCTGCATATAACAGAAAACTCAAAATAACACATAACTTAAATAAAAAAGAGGTTTATTTCTCTTTCACATAAAATAAGTCTAAGGTTAGGCAGTTTGTGGTAGCTCTTCAATCATTACGGTCCAGGCTCCTTCTGTTTTGCCAACAGCATCCTTAGTTGCCAATTTGTGGTCCAAGATTTTGCCTGCATTTCAAACATCATATCCACATTCTTGTCAAAAGGAAAGAGGGCAGAAAAAAGGCACATTGTCTCCTGCCACATGGCCTCACCAAGCTACACGGTATGGGGAATGTGCTATTCATTGCAGGTGGCCATGGATCCAGATAAAAATTAGGGATTCTAGTATTATTATGGATAGTAATAAATACCAGGGTGGGCAATTAGTAATATCTGTCTGCCACTCTAGGCTTTATTGTGTTACTCTTCTTTTTGTCCAAGAGCTTCACTCTACAGCAGAGGCTGAGAGATAAAGGGAAGGAGGGGGGAAATGTGGCATTTGAATACAGAGATAAAATTCTTTGTCCTATCTTTTACTTCTTTCTTTCAACAACCATCCCCCCAAAAGTACTAGGATGTGAAGTATAGGCAAACAAAAGGAGGGACACATTAGGAGGCCTGTTTCTCAGTCATCGTAAAAGCTGATTAAGTACTTATGAAGGACTTTGAGATCCTGGCTTCCTATGCTTTGTTCAAAGTCTTACCATTAAATAAGAACATAAGTCAATAGGCTTTTCTTAATTGGCAGCTGGGGAAAGATACTGATTCAAAAGGAACAAGTATGGAGAAACTGGATAATCACCTTAATAGGTGATCAAAATTACTATCACCAACAGGGGCAGATAGATGGCCCCTGTGTGCCAGACTATAGGTGTGATATTCTGGGGACACAGCTCAGGGCATGTACCAGAATGTCATCAGGAGGAAACATTACACAAACCCAAAACGAGGAATGAGGAACATTCTATTAAACAAAAGGTGGTGAGATTGTCAGTGTCATAAAATACCAAAAAAGGCTAAGGAATTGTTCTAGATTAAAGGCGACTAAGGAGATTTGACCAAAAAGCAAGGTACATGATCCTAGAGAAGATCCTGTACAACACAGGAAAAACAAATACAAGGACAATGTTGGATTAATGGACAAAAATGAAATATGGTTGGTAGACTATTAAGCCAAGGTTATATTTCTGAGCTTGATAACTAAACTATTGTTGTATAAGAGGATGTACTTATTCTTAGGAAATAGACACTCAAGGATTTATGATAAAGGGCATGATATAAGCAATTTATTCTCAAATGGCTCAGAATATATATATATATATATATATATATATATATATATATATATATATATATATATACAGAGAGAGCAAGTGAGCAAATAATAAAGCAACTGTGGTGAAATGCTAATAGCTAACAATAGGTGATTCTGGTCAAAGGGTATATAAGTGTTCTTTGTATAGTTCTTGCAACTTTTCTAAGTTTGAAATACACCTCTCCCCCCACCCCTAAAGAGCAAGGACAATAAGTAACATTCAGATTATTTTATTCCCGCACTTGTCTGATGAACTATTCTATATGCTGTATTTGATTTTATGTCCAAAGCTTAACCCTTAAGCTTTCAATTGGGAAGGAAAAGAATGACTTCCATTAGTAAACATTAAGGTTTTCATGAAAACCAATATACCAGGCCAGCCTTCAGGATGCTTCTGTCAGAGAAACCTAAGGCAGGCCAGGCTTTTTTCTGTTCACCAAATGTTGTCTTGGAACCTAAAAGATACCATCTGACTGAAGCTCTGTAATTGGGACAAACACTTAATCACCACTGGACTTTTTCCATGCAGGATGACCAAATTAGCCTGTGGCTCTCTGCGAGGATCCCATTTCTCAGGCAGCTTGGACTCAAGGGGACTGGCATTCTGACAAGCCATTAAAGCCACGGCAGTGGAAATGACCACTTGGACTTGAACTGAACTCCTTTGGCTTTGGATCTGCCCACAGAAAAGGAAGCAAGTGTGTTACCTTACATCTACACTAAGTTCTTCTGTTCTTGTTGAGTAGTTGTCCTGATTGCACCTATACAAATTCTTACATACTTTGGAAAAAGCTTCGTTTTAAGAAGCCCTGGGTTGTTCTTAAGTACCTGAGGCTATTTATTATACACAAAAGATACTCTCCTCGCCCTCAGCCTGACAGAGCCATCCAAACCAGAAACTAGCTGAGTCACACGTAAGCTCAGTTGGCAACTGCGCTTACCCTAACTCTTCAGTGTGCAGATTTTAATAACAAATCTGAGGTATAAATTCAAACATGTAAACTATCCATTTCCAAGACTTAAGTCCTTCTTTAAAAGATGTCACAATGAGAAACTAAAAGCTAGTTCCCGCAAAGGCTCAGACTAGGAAGTTGACTCAGCTTCCACAGAGCCTAAGCATAAAGGTTATTTCTTGGCCGGGACCCTTATTTCTAACCTCTTGTTTACTTAGATAAGGTCATTTGACAAATTAGTTCCTCTTCAAAATATTTACAAGTTTCTAGGGGAAGAAAAGCAACCTATTGCCATTTCAATTTCTAGCTACAAATCTAGAAAAAAATTATACATACACAGCGTTATATTCTTGAGTAGACCAGATCCTAACACAGTTTGCCAAACCCACTAATCATCAAAATCTCTTAGGGAGCTTTCCCATAATGCAAATTCCCCAAGCACCACTCCAGATATACTGAATCAAAATCGAGACTCTTTTTATTTTGAAGAAGGTCCCCTATGGTTCTGATCATCAGCCAGGTGGTAAACTGTTGTTTTAGGACTCCTTCCGCCAGTGTCACTATAACCACCACCTCAGGTGGCAAAGGTGGTTTTTGTTCTGAAATAGACAATGATTCAAAGTCTAAAAGGCACAACAAGGTGACCTGTCTTTCCCCTTCATCCCTGTCTGCCAGCTACCTATTTGCTCTTCATGGGCAACAAATATTACCAGTTGCTTATCTGTCCTTCCAGAGATCCTTTATGCCTACAAAGGCACATATAACTATTTCCTTTAAAAAGGGAGAGCAGCAAATAATACCTTGTTATGGAAACCAAACAAGGTGCGGAACAAGTTGTATCCTGAAGGTCTTTCCCCATCAACACAGAGCTTCCTTATTCTGTTTTAACAGGCATGGTAGATGCTACTTTGTGGCTGTAGCATACTTGACAAATAAGTCCCCTTTCACTGGACGTCTGTTATTTGCAGTCTTTTGCTGCAATGCATAATCATGTACACACGTCGTCTCATACATGTGAGAGTCTATCTATAGGATAAATTTCTAGACGTGGTTGGGCTGGCTGAGTGGCTCAGTTGGTTAAGAGCATGAGCTCTGAGCAACAGGGTTGCTAGTTCGATTTCCACATGGGCCAATGAGCTGCGCCTGAGCTGAGCTGCCACTTAGCTGCCAAAAGGTGGCAGGATGGCTCAGCTGGTGAAAGCATGTGCGCTTTTATCAACAACTTTTCCGGTTCGACTCCCACATGGGATGGTGGGCTACGCCCACCTGCAACTAAGATTGAACATGGCACCTTGAGCTGAGCAGCAGCAGGTGGCCAGATGGCCACGGGACTTGGAGCTGAGCTAGCTGCGCCCTCCACAACAACTTGGTTGTTCCCCTTCCCCAATTCCCCAATAAAATCTTAAAAAAAAAAAAAAAATTTTCTAGACATGGAAATGCTACGTCAAAGGATATAGGTATTGTAATTCTGATAGATATTGCCAAATTGCTCTCCCCAGATAGTATAACAATTTTCACTTCCACCTGCCATTTGAAATAGGAATTTAGATTTTACAATGAGTTGAATATGAACAGTTCCAACGGCTTACTTTCTAGATGCTTCCCTGAAAATATTCTACTTTTATAGCCGGGTGACATAACAAATATTCTGAAGAAACCTCCTGTGCCATGGAAATCTGAATAATTTTACCATTGCTATTAGAAAGCTTTCTATTTGAAGTCCAAGGAAAAGAGGAGCTGAGAAAGGAGAAGCTGAGGTTAAGGCAATTCTTGCCATTCTTAGCTGACATGCATGCACTGTGAAGTCTTTTTTCCTAATTCAGCATAAAACGCTTAAAATTTTCCACTTACTACACAAAGTGTTATTTGTGTGAAATATTAACCAACTATGCTGTTTATTTATTTAATCAACGAAAGTTCTACAAGTGTTAGATTTACCAAAGTCTTGCACAAGAGAAGTTTACTAAATAAAGGCAGGGTGCCCGAAGTGACCCACTCTATAGCTAAGGAAGAATGTCATGCAGAAGGCATGCTGAAGAGAGAATGATCTAGAGAAACACAACGGAAATGTTTCATCTCCTTTATAATACACAAAAAACACAGAGGAGAGAAAAAAGGGAACACGTTTTTAACTAAAAGAGTTGACAATTTTATTTTCACATTTCACAATACAGATGAAAATTGTGTTTTTTTGTTCCATTACTCCCTTCCCAAACTATTCTCTTTGATAGGCAGGGGGAGCGAGTCTTCCTTGTCCTGCTGTTAGAAAACAGCCAGAGTCACAGCACCAGGATCTCCTGGTGAAACAGAACAAGTTATATAAAACTTGTTCTGTTTTATATAGAAAGAGGCTCTGCTCTTTCCTTATCTGTCTGGTCGAGTCATTCCTGGCCGAGTGGGTACCATCATGGGACGGGCAGGAGGTCTCATCATTGGGGGCCCTGGCATCATTGGCATGTGGCCTCCCATAGGGGGCCTCATTCCAGGAGCTGCAGGACAAAACAAAGAAAAGGAAAAAAAAAAAAAGAGTCAGAAAATATTACTTAGAGAGCTTGTGGGACTTTAATTAAAGACAAAAAAAGTAGCCCCCCCCTGCAAAATGCTGGAAAAAAGACATACTTGACAGAAGAAATGCAACAAATTCATCACATCTTTAAATTACTTAGACATTCTTGAACAAAAAACAAAAAAAGTCAACACAAGAACCATATGGAAATCATAATCTAATGATAGGAAGGGGAAAACTATTATTAGACTGCTTTCCAGAAATCACCAGGGACACTAGTTCCCTAAAATGACCTTTTTTCTCACTCAGGGAAATTCACAACTAAGTCACATTACTCAGTCAGCTCTTTTAATCAGTTCTATCCACCATATAACCAGGAGCTATTTCATGGGTGTACACAGGCACAGAGGACAATCTTACCACTAAGCGTTTGCTCGGAGTTGTAGGAAAGGTGAGCAGGAGGCCCATGCTGAGAACCTGTTAGTAACCATACTTAGCTCAAGTCAAGAAAAATAATAGGCAATAATGTGATTTATAACAATTAGCACACACACAAAAATCTGATTTTTCTAACGCATTTTAGAAACTATTAATGCATTTTTTTAAGTATCACATCAATATACCAGCCAAATAAATGAGCCAGGGAAGGGAGGGCAAGCAGAGTGGTGGAGGTTAGGGAGGGACACGGGTAGCTTCATGGAACGGTGCTGTTCCTGCTACATCCTCAGCTGGGTGGTGGGTTCACGGATATTCATTTTATTATTATGTCTCATGGTTTTCATGTTATATATCTTCTTTTCAAATATCAAATTTTACCTGTTTATTTTTAACTAAATCATTTCTATTAAAGGCTTGCTCTAAATGGTTCAAGAAAACTACAGAGGGTGCCAAAAAAATGTAAAAAATTTTAAGAAAGGAAAAAACTGTATTAATTGTAATGCTCCATATATACCAATAACAAAAGATGAATACAAGTCACATTTGACTTCTGCAATTACAAGAGGTACTCAAAGTGGTTACCATCGGCATACTTTTAATAGTTTTTTTCCTTTCTTAAAATGTGTATACATTTTTTGGCACCCTCAGTATATTCAAAGCTGAATATATAGCCTTATCACAAAAAGTAAAACACAAGTATATGCAGACACAAAATCCAACAGGTACAGAACTTTTTTAAAGATTACTTTCAACAGAAACAGAGAATAACACTAAATACTTTATTTATTTAAAAATTCCACCATAACATAACCTGTATTCAGCATTTCTTAGAGAAAACTAATCTAGACCAGATTGAAAATGAGGCACCTAAAAACTTGTTTTCTTTGGTCTTCACAGTGTATTTAATTTTAATAAGGTGCCAACACTGGAAATTAATAAGTCTAATTACTATTAAGTAAGTCTAGATTCCTTCTGCAACTTTTTATAATAAAAATGCCCAAACACACACAATAGGAAGAGTGTAATGAACATCCATGTACCCATCAACCAGCTTCAACAATTACCCACCCAAAGCCAATTTTACCCCCACCCCTTATTAGCCATACCCACCCCCAACTACTCAATTATTTTAATGCAAATCCCATCATCTTATTTTATCCTGGTTAAAAAAAAAAAAGTACTTAGGAGAACTGGTAACACCAACCTGCATTCTCAAACGGCAACCATAGGCTGAACTGAGTTCTGGAGCCTGCTTTAGATAAGTCATGCATTCCCAGTTCACCACATCCCTAACCCCCTCAAGGAATTTGAATTAGTAACTGATTTAAGAATGCAAAAGAAGCCATCTAAGTCACTTTGGTTGTGTTTTGGGTTCACAAGCCAGTAAGGCAGGAACTCTTTTTATCTACACTCTCCCATCCCTCTAATGATACCCACAGCAAACACACTTAATGCTTCTGGCTAGGAAGCTCTAGAATACCTTTGTACCTTGTCTTACCAGTTGAGTTGTAGGCTTCTTGCATCAGTTGTATTTAATTGCACAATTTAACTATTCTGCAAACCCATAAAATGGGTTACATATATATATACATAAAATATATATATGTAAACCTGTTTCTATGAAAATTAAGTTGCTACTTAGCAATACTCAGGCAAATCATCCCCAAAAAGTGCTCCCATATTTGGTAGGTGAACCGATCATAAAAGACTAAAACTAGATTGCCTCACAAGGTCTCTAACCACTTCACAGAAAATGAAACTAAAGTTGGTAGAGGATGTATTATGGGTATGGCTTATTGATTTTTTGAAATATATAGTGTTCTAATCAGTACACTTGTTCTTAAAGCAAAGACCCTGACCATGTAGCAGAAAAATTTGCAAATTAATGTACATTTATGTTTATGCTAAAATAAAATGTTTGAGGTGTAAGTTTTTTCCCCTTGCTGAATAAAAGACCACTACTAGGCCTAAGGCCTTTTTCATACTAATTTGGGCTGGCTAACCTCCAAGATTAAATCAGCAATAGGAGGTAGCTCTGCTCCAAATCACAACAGAGAAAAGTAGCAGCATGGGTGTATATATATCTACCCTCCCCTTTATCCCCCCAGTGGAACAAGCTCCTCTACCTTTCTCGTCATTATTAAGAGCCAAAAGTCAGGAGGACACAAGCAAACAGGAGGGAGGGAGAAGAAGAGAAAAAGAGGCAGCCTTATCTTGCTTTCAGTAGTACAATGTCTTTGGATAGCATCCACTTATACTGATACACCAAATATTTATTTTTCTTTCTCATTACAGATTCACCAAATTTAATTTGTTACAATAATACATTCAGATGGCTAATTAAGAATTCCATATAAACGGAGAACTAAATCACAATGGAGCATTCTGCGAGATTCAAACTTACCAGGTCCCACAGGCATCATCCCAGGAGGAGGAGGGCCCATCATTGGCATCATGGGAGGGCCCCCCATGTGGGGTGCTGGCATCATACCAGGGCGAGGAGGACCCGCTGAAATAAAGGATGTGGCCTGAGGTTAATTTAAGATATGCTTATACATTAACGTTTTATCTCCTTAATGAAACTAATAGGGCCTCATGATCTGGTCCAAATTCTGATAACAACAGATTTCCAATGGTCTCTTTTATAACAGTAGATCCACGAAAGTCAGCATGCCCCAAAGCTTTAGTTGCTTTATGACTGAAAAGCAAGAATAAGCCTACCTAAACAGAAGTATAAAATGAAGCCAGGCTCCCCAGGTTAAAAAAAAAATACCAAGATTTAACTTTTTAAAGGGGGTAATGTATCTTCTGTAGAGCTCCTGACAAAAAGCTGGTGAACTTAAGCCACAAGTACCTAATTTCAGATTAAAAAAAAAAAATCAAAACCCAGGTTTAAAAAGTTCTTGGAAAATATAAAGATGTATATGCAGAGATATTCCTGACAGTATCCCTTACAATAGCAACGATTTAAAACAACTTACATGTCCAACAATAAGAAAATGATGAGGTTAATTATGGTACACTCATACCATAGACTATTCTACTGTTAAAAATAATGGAGGGCCGGCCGAGTGGCTCAGTTGGTTAAGAGCTCACTCAAGAGTTTGAACTCTGAGCAACAGCGGTTTGAGTCCCGGCCCGAGCTGAGCAGCCGCTGAGCTGCCAACAGGTGGCAGGATGGCTCAGCTAAAAAAAAAATAAAATAAAATAATGGAGTTGAGTGCCAGCCAGAATGGAGTAGGAGAGGTGATCTGAGAGCTGAAGCCTGGCCAGGTCTCAGGATGGTGGGAGCCCAAAGGTTTGGTGGGTTATTAGTGATCCACCTGCATTAGTGTACAAATATTATAAACAGCTTTTTTACTTCTATGTGTTTGTATCCATGATTAATTGCAGGACTGAGTTTAGGTCTCTGAGTTCGGTTTCAATCTGAACCCTTCCAGAAGAGCCAAAGCACTATGGCCTAGTTACTCAATCTCCTCCTGTTTGTCATGCAGAAACAATAAATCTTCCCAGAGAGGCCTTTGAACCACTCCACTTTGAACTATATACCATTTCTGTCTTTTGCAAGGTATATATATATATTGGTGTTAGGTGGGTTAGAAAATAGACTGAGAAGTTTATCAACTACTTCGATCCTCTAGTGTTATGTTCTTAGCGGTAAATAACTTCATGTACTCAACAATACCTCTTCATAGACTAGCTCAGGGGTTGGCAAACTGTGGCTCGCGAGCCACATGCGGCTCTTTGGGTACATTCCGTCTCACAAGTTTGCTGATCCCTGGAAGAGCCAATCCTGTCCTTCACAACATTTTAAAAATTATTCGAGAACCATAAATATATTTTTACATAATCACCATTATGTGAATAATATCCTTTAAAATTTTTGTAAATGAAACTATGGTCATTTTATTTTCATTTTCAATTTTACTTCAGAGCCACACGCTCCCAAGCTTCAGTTTGCTGACCCTTGGCAGCTCTTCCATCTCAAAATTTGCCAACCCCTGGAGCTCATCTAATCACAGGTACATTCTGAGCTTTCCATTGAATCTGTCTCAGATCCACTTGGGATGCCACACATACAATATCCCAGTAATAATGCAGTCAGAAGGTAACTAAAGCTATTTTAGAAATTCTACCACTAAAGTTGTTTTCTGTCACCATCTATTCATTCAATGAGCATCTGAAAGTCCACTGTGAGATAATCTAACAAGATTAAAGTTTAATCTGCCCACTTACATCCCTTAAGGTAAAAACTTTAGAAACTTACGGAGACTGGGGGGAGGTGGGATCATTGCCCCCCCGGGAGGAGGAGCAGAGAATGGAGTAGGAGGTATCTTTCCTTGCTGAAATGCTGCAGCTTTAGAAAGAAAAAACCAACACACAGTGAATAAGAATTCAACAACCCATAACCACTTTCTTTTAAATCTTTAATGGTCTCAATTATTTCATTCTAAAAAGTAATCATCTGGGCCGGCTGAGTGGCGCGATGGTTAAGAACTGGCTTGGGATGCCAGAGGGCCCCGGTTCGGATCCCACATATGAGGGCCAG